AGAGGGTCCTGGAATAGCCTGCCGGTGCCTTCTGCCTCCGCCTGGAACAAGCCCTGAGGGTTGTAGGGGCAAACGGTTTGAAGAACAGAATTTGTGGTCAGTGGCTGACCTGCGTGCAAAGTGCTACATGGCAGAGGAGGGGAAATGGGGACCCAGCTCAGGGTGGGTCCAGCAGAGGCTGAGGGATCTGAGGGGGGGGGAGTTTAGTGCACAGGCATGTAGGCTCTTGGACACTTCCATGTAGTTTCGAGAGGATCCCAGAATGATTTCAATGACACTGCCACACCCCTGACCATACTGACAGTGATTCGAGAGACAGGAAGAGAGGGAAGCCCATAGAAAAGAAGCATCTCTGGGCACCTGAATGGCTGTCGGTTGAATGTCTGACTTCAGCTCATGATCTTGCGGTTCACGAGTTCAAGCCCCACATTGGGTTAGCTACTGTCAGCCTGTCAGAGCTGCGTAAATGCTCTACAGACAGTGGGCAGAGCCCACTTCGGATCCTCTGTCCCCCTCTCTCTGCCCCTCCCCTGCTCGCACTCTCCCCAAAATAAATATAAAAAAAGAAAGAAAGAAGCATCTCAATCAGGGAGGAGATGCACAGCCTCTTAAAAGACGAGCAAGGACAGTGGGAGCTTTTAGCAAGGGCTTGTGAGCCCACAAGAGCAAAAACACGCTCCCTTTGCCACCCTGAACCTCTCCTGCGCTGGTCAGGTCGGAGTTTCAGGCCAGCCTATGGTCCTCGGACTCCGCCCTGGGCTGTGGTGAGGTCTCTGGCTTTGCCCTCCCCCAGGGCATTTGTCTTCCAGCACCCACCCTGACCACCTATCTGATTTTGCAACTCGTGTCCATGTGCATAGCTTCCCAGGGATGAGGGATTTGGTGAAGAGGGGAAAAGGGATTCAGGCTTAGATATCTTGAGCGGCTGCAGAAAAATGAGCTGGGGGGGGGGGGGTGTATGGTTGCACATGCAAACCTGGAGATTTTAATTCTCAATTTGAAAATGTGTTTCTCTTCTCTTCCCACCCGCTCTCCCTGAGGAACGTCATCCTCACATTTGGTGTGAGTGGCCATTGAGCGACAGCTACCTGCTCGCAGCCCTAATGCAGGCTTAGCAGACTCTATAGTAACATTCAAGGTGCATCTCTTCAACTGGAGTCGATGACTCCTCAGAACAGAACCACCTTCAATCGTCAGTGGATTTCGTCTCCTAGCACTTTCAAGAGTTTTCAAGGGCACTTACATTTGTTGAATAAATCTAATAATGGAAAAGATTACATAATCATGGTACCACCATATGGTAGAACATTTATGCAGCTATTAAAAAATCTTGTTTTTAAAGAATAGTGACATGAGGAATGGCTTATGAAATACCAGAGAAGATAGTAAAGATAAAAGACTGCCTCCTTAATTGATCTCAGTGTTGCAGAAACATACACGTATATGTTTACATACGTGAATAGGATCAGACAAAAGAGAAAACACATTACTATTGCAGAGGTAATTCTCTCTAGAGATAGGATTTGGCTGTTCTTGTTTTTCTCTTTAGACTTTATGTTTCCTGAGTTTGCAGTGAGAAAGTATTATTTTATTATTATTTCAATATAAATAAGTGTTAATGTTTTTTGGTGTATTTTATTTCTAAGTACTTCCCTTGATTATTTTTCTTAATTATTATTTCTTAATAATTATATTTCTTAATTCTCCTAGAATTAACATGAATATTGAAACAAATTTGTTTATACTCAGTGGTTAGGGATCGTGGGTTTTAAGATGTATATTTTCAGTTCACGCATTAAAGCCGCAACAATAAACAAACCTGGGATGTGATTATTTGCTGCAAACCAGCAGAGTGACTGTGTTGAGGCACATTTGGCATTCTATCCTGTCCCCACCAACTTAGCCACTCTGGGGAATTTGTAATGTAATGTTTGATAAGAAATAAGTCACATTGGCTAAGAAGTGAGAGGAAGTCTGAGGTGTAAGGATGAAAGACAATTAAAAAAAATTTTTAAGAGGTTAGAAGTCTTTTTTTTTTTTAAAGACCTTTAAAGAGTGCATGCTGTACACATAATACGTCTTTGCATAAACATACTTTTAAATTCTCCTCTTTATTAAAATAAACGACAGGTTTGCACTACTGTGGAGGAGGGGGAAAATTATTTGGATTACTTTTTCTGTGGGTCGCTTTTTTTATTTGTCCTTTCGTTCTCTCACTCAGAAATCCCCTTTATGTGATAGTATCTCTCACAACATACATGTCTCAGGCAACCTTCTGTGGTCTCCGTACCATTAACCCTTTAGAGGACCCGATCTCAGCTGGCCACAGGGGTGTGAAAGCTATGGTTATATCCCTTTATATTCTTCTTTCCACACCCACCCAAAGAGACTACACACTTTTCTTGTTTCAGCCTGTCTGCACTGAGAACACTCATGCATTCATGCCTGCTAGTTAGGCAGGGCTGGGCATTTCATAAATCACTGTTTTATAGAGGCTCAGGAAATCTATTATTCAAAATACAAAATTATGGGGTGCCTGGTGGCTCAGTCAGTTAAGTGTCCAATTTTGGCTTAGGTCATGATCTTGCGGTTGGTGAGTTCAATCCCTGCATTGAAGCCTGGAGCCTGCTTTGGATTCTGTGTCTCCCTTTCAGGATTCTGTGTCTCCCTTTCTCTCTGCCCTTCCTTCCCCTGCGCACTCTGTCTTTCTCTCAAAAATAAATAAACATTTAAAAAATCTTTGAGGGGCGCCTGGGTGGCTCAGTCGGTTGAGCATCTGACTTTGGCTCAGGTCATGAGCTCATGGTTCATGAGTTCAAGCCCCATGTCGGGCTCTGTGCCGACAGCTCAGAGCCTGGAGCCTGCTTCAGATTCTGTGTCTCCCTCTCTCTCTGCCCCTCCCCTGCTCTCTCATGCTTACTCGTGCTCTCTCTCTCTCAAAAATAAACATTTAAAAATTAAATAAAAATTGAAAAAAATAAAAAATTTTTGAAAAATACAAAATTAAAGTCATTTTTAGAAAACTCTGAAAACAATTCAATTACTCTAAAATCTATATGTAGTTTATTCTCCCATCTTGAGACTTTTTATTTATTTTTAAAAATATTGAGAGAGCGAGCGAGCGAGCAGGGGAGGGGCAGAGAGAGGAGACTCAGAATCTGAAGCAGGCTCCAGGCTTCAAGCTGTCAGCACAGAGCCCGACCCAGAACTTGCACCCATGAACCATGAGATCATGACCTGAGCCGAAGTCAGATGCTCAACTGACTGAGCCACTCAGGCGCCCCTTGAGATTTTTTAAAAGGTCAGTACATAATATGTACAGAACCAACTACGTAAAGATATCTCAATTTTACTCTTTAAGATTCTTTGCGTGCAAATTACAGAAACCAACTGTAGCCAGAGAACAGAGGTGTGTATCCCAGGGACATAGGTGTTCTCTGCCCCCATGCAGCTGGGCTTCAGGAAACCCAGACCCCCTGGGGCCCCTCTCTAGCTCCCATCTCTGCTTCGCTCTCTGCAGATCAGCGTTCTCTAGTTCTCATACTGCGTGGTGGCATGTGGCTGCTCCACAGTTCCTGGGGTCACAGTTCAGTTGTGTCTGCTTTAAGTATGTAACTTGCTTTTCTTGCCGCAATCCTAAAAATCCCTGAAGACAACCGGATTGGCCCGGCTCAGGTCGGTTGTCCATCCTTGGTTCATTCAACCGGCTACTGAGGTAGAGTCAGGTACTCATGGCTTCAAGAAGCCCACAGCCTGGACAGGTCTCAGAGAAGCAAGGACCACTGTGAGTCAGGAGACTCCAAATCAATAGCCTGGAAGTTCTAGAACAAGACCAGGGCCTGAGAGCTTCTAGGGTAGCAGTTTCTACACAGAGCAAATGAGGTGGGGAGGTCAATTCTGAAGTCCAGGCAAGTTTTCACAGTGTTCTGCTTATGACATATTTCAGGCGAGAGTATCTATAGATTTCATCAATACTGAAGGGGTTTATAAACCGCCTCATTAACAACCTTTAATCCTGTACACACACACACACACACACACACACACACACACACACACACAGTCACACACAGAATCACCCCGTTTGTTTTTTATAATATACACTATCCTATTAGCACGAGCTTCACACTGCAAATCATTTAGGTATTAGGGCGTATGGTCAGGGAGGAATGCCTGACTTAACAAAGTGTGGTTGCAAATGAAAAACTGAGCAGCTTTGAATCATAATGAAGAGCCATGAATCCAGCCCTAAATACACTGTACTTCATGTTATCATTTAAATAAGATTAATGGTTTTTTGTTTAAAAAAATTTTTTTTAACATTTCTTCATTTTTGAGAGACAGAGACACAGTATGAGTAGGGGAGGAGCAGAGAGAGAGAGAGAGAGAGAGAGAGACAGAGTCCGAAGCAGGCTCCAGGTTCTGAGCTGTCAGCACAGAGCCCGATGCCCAGCTTGAACTCACTGCGAGATCATGGCCTGAGCCGAAGTCAGATGCCCAACTGACTGAGCCACCCAGGTGCCCCTAAATAAGATTAAATTAAGAAAAACAAAAATCTGCCAAACTCAGAGAAAAATCTTCTTAAATTTATTTTCACAGTTCGGGAAAAATGTTTTTTTCCATGTAAGTTCATTTACTTAATACATTTTAAAATATGCTTCTTGATTCTGTTATATATAAAATTATAGAAGGAGAAAAATTGTGAAAAGGGCTGCTAGGATTGAGAATATGAGGGCTTGCAGTGAAGCTAGTATTTTATATAATTTTTGGACCACTATCTTTTACCTTGAACCCTATTAAAGTGTTACATGGCCTTGATAGCTCTAAATTTAATAGAGTGTCAATTTTTAGAAAACTCTGGAAACAACTCAACTACTCTAAAATAATCTGTTTACCCCTATTCTATTTAAGTTAACATGCATTGCATTTCTTTTACTTTAAAAATTACTATTTTTAATTTTACTTTTATAATTTTTTTTTAAAATTTTAATTAATTTATTTTTTAAAGATTTTATTTTTAAGTAATCTCTACACCCAACACGGGGTGTTTACAACCCCAAGGTCAAGAGTCGTGTGCTCCACCGACTGAACAAGCAGATGTCCCTTTAAAATTTTTAATTTTTAAAACTATACAAGACATGCTGATTGTAAAAAATTCTTGCAATCTCTAAGGAAAACAGGTATATTCTTTGACCACCCCCATTACACTCTCCTTTACCAACTTATTTGTATTTTTTTTTTATAAAGTTACGCATATTTCTGTGCAAAGATCTGCTATGTGACTTGTGAACAACTTTTTTCCGAGTCATGTAGTATGTTTTCATGCCTTAGCATAACTGTCAATTGCTCAAAAACATGTTGATACTACTTGTTTTTCCTGGTCTCATTTACTTTTCCGTTAATAGATACAGTTTTTCAACAATGGAGTCAATCCCCCAACTTTTATGTCTTTCTTCAAAAACGTCAACCATCTCAAGGCAATGAATGTTGCATGTTGAACCTGAAACAAGAAAAGGGAACAAGTTTTGAAGTTGATGAAGAACCCACTAGGGATTCTTCTAAAGACACAATGAATGATTTAAAAGCAGTACTGAAGATTTTTCTTTGCCTTTGAATGAAAATGGGGAAATGCTAAGGGCAAACTTTCTGAACTCTGAATCCTTATCATCACTTATAACTCCTAAAACCTAAATTAAACATACCATCTCTCTGAAGGAATTCAAATGCCTTTAACATAAGCACACCACTTAGCTAAAAAAAAAAAAAAAAAAAAAAAAAAAAAGGCATATTACAGAGATCTGTCCATTTTCTAGAATAAAACAGTCTTCAATAAAATGGCTTCTGACTTTTAGATTTTATATACTTCTAGGCACTAATACGGGGCGCCTGGGTGGCTCAGTGGGTTAAGCATCTGACTCTTAATTTCGGCTCAGGTCATCAGCTCATAATCATGAGACTGAGTCCTGTGTTGGGTTCCATGCTGACAACCCAGAGCCTGTCTGGGATTCTCTCTCTGTTCCTCTTCCTGCTTGCACTCCCTCACAAAATAAAAAATAAATATAAAAACATTAAGAAAAATGCTAGACACTAATAGTTGGTAACAGCTCAAAACAGTTCATTGATTTTATTTGAAATATAAATAACTTACCAAACAATTTTTTAATTTCAGCATCTGGAACATAAAATGGTGGGCCTAGGTAAAAGAGAAACATGGTAAAGAATACTTTCTATAGATCTAATTCTGAAGAGAAATTCTCAGGACCCACTTTTCAGCCTATTTCCAGTGACCTAGTTAGAGTTATCCTATACACAACATAATTTCACTTACATATTAACACCCAGAGCTCATCACCACAAGTGCACTCCTTAATCGCTATCACCTATTTAACTCATTCCCCATCTACCTCCCGTCCAGCAACCCTAAGTTTGTTCTTTATAGTTAAGAGTCTGTTTTCTGGCTCACTGCTATTTTTCCCCCATATGTTTATCTGTTTTGTTTCTTAAATTCCAGATATAAAAGAAATCATATGGTATCTATCTTTTTCTTACTGACTTATTTCACTTAGCATAATACTCTCTAGCTCTATCCATGTCTTTGCAACAGGCAAGATTTCAGTCTTTTTCATGGGTTAGTAATATTCCTGTGTGTGTCTGTGTGTGTGTGTGTGTGTGTGTGTATACACATACACATATACACACACCACATCTTCTTTATCCATCCATTAGTCAATGGACATCTGCACTATTTCCATAATTTGGCCATTGTGGATAATGCTGCTATAAACAACACTGTGTATGTATCTCTTTGAATCTGTGTTTTTGTATCCTTTGGGTAAAAATCTAGTAGAGCAATTGCTGGAGTGCAGGGTAATTCTATTTTTAGTTTTTTGAGGAACTTCCATACTGTTTTCCAGAGTGGCCGCACCAGTTTACATTCCCATCAACAGTGCGAGAGGGTTCCCCTTTCTCTGTATCCTTGCCAACATCTGTTGTTTCTTGTGTTTTTAATTTTGGCCATTTCTGATGGGTGTTAGGTGATACTGCATCATGGTTTTGATGTGTATTTCTCTGATGGTGGGCGATGTTGAGCATCTTTTTATGTGTCTTTTAGCTATCTGGATGCCTTCTTTGGAAAAGTGTCTATTCATGTCTTCTGCCCATTTCTTAATTGGATTATCTGTTTTTTGGGTGTTGTATCAGTTCTTCATGTATTTTGTATATGAACCCTTTACCCAGTCAATCATTTGCAAATATCTTCTCCCATTCTGTAAGCTGCCTTTTAGTTTTGTTGATTGTTTCCTTCTCTGTGGTCCAGTTTCATTCTTTTGCATGTTGGTGTCCAGTTTTCGGGATTTGGGAACTTTCAAATCAGAATGAAGTTCATGAAGAGATTCCTTGGCGTTTCCTTCATCTTCTGGAGTATTGATTTTCCATGACTCCAGCACTCACTCCCACTCCATACATCCCTCCCACTTTGCTGCAGGCCATTTACCTTTTAGGAAATTGAGCTGCTGCCCCTTTCATGAGGTACTGTGAGTCCCACCCCCAGATAGAGCCTGTGCTGTTCTCTGCCCACAAGTCCTTCCTGCCTTAAGCCTCCTATTTAGGAATGGAATTTAAATCAGGTTAGCAGAGCTGAGGGCAATTTCTATCTGATTGGTCTAGACTTAATTATGGACACTAGGTCTCATTTTTTTAATGAGGTTTTAAGATCTGATTTACTCAAGCAGGAAAAAATACTAGCATATGTAAATATTTATAAAACACCGCACTTAACAAAAACCCTCTGTTAAAAATCAAAAAGGGGATTTTTTACAATAAAAGTCTATATATTTGATTTTCACTTCCTCCTGAAAATAAAAGTTCGGTCCTGACAAAGACTGAGCTTCCAATGTTCAAGCACATCAAAAAGAGTCCAGAAGAATATTATCACTTTTCTAAGTTTAAAACAAAGATCCTTATGAAAGAGTGCAATAAATTTAAAAATTTTCTAAATTAGAAAAATGCAGTTTAGAGATTCTTCTGCATACCTCTGACCCCCCCATATCCACATCTTGCCATCTTCCTGTGAGGGCGTGTCTGGGTACCTAACCCATCCCCACCACCAGCGATGACCCACATATGCTCTCTCCAAACCAGGGCAACCGATCTCTCTCCCTCCTACTCCTGAGCTCATGAGATTCCTTTCATATTAGGGACATCCATTCCTTCCTCTCCTCTACAGTCTGAGCTGTGAATGGCAAACAAAATAGAATATGAGCGAGAAAAACATGGACTGAGTGGGAAGTGGAAAAAAACATTTACAGTTTCCATTAGCCCAAAGCAGACTTTTCTTCATGGATAAAAGGCAGTGTTCTTCCTGTGAACTAAATCAGGAGCAAATAATGCTATCCCGGGTCATAGACTTAAATCAGGAAAAGACGCAACCTCTTTGAAAAAAGGAAAAACAACAAAAAACTTTACCTGGATGTTTAGTGGGATCATAAGAAAGAACAGCCAAGAGGTAGTGAAACCCTTTTCTCGTTAGGGACAGCATTGTATCTGCGTAGCTAAAAAGAGCACAACAGAGTTAAGGTATTACGTTTCTCTTGATTTTTTTCAAGTTTCTTTATTTATTTTGAGAGAGAGAAAACCAGCAGGGGAGGGGCAGAGAGAGAGTCCCAAGCAGGCTCTGCACTGTCAGCACAGAGCCCAACATGGGGCTCAATCCCATGAGCCGTGAGATCATGACCTGAGCCAAAATCAAGAGTCAGACACTCAACTGACTGAGACACATTTCTCTATAAAGTCTGCATGGGGGTGAGAGGCAGGGAGGGAAACCAGGTTCCCTTTGACCTACGTTACTAAGGTTAATTCTTCTAAGGACTATCTGCAGTCGATTTGTATTCTAAATGTCAGAAATCGGGTCTGCAAATTACATCACCTGCCTAAGCTGGGAAACAGTAAAGTTAGGAATCAAAAGGCGGCCTGCTTCCAGAGCTCATCCGACCGGAAGCTGTCACATAGAGCCAAGCAGAGGCTCTTTCCAGCCTGACGGGGTACTCGGAGGCCTGTGGGCTTTGAACACACACTTTGGAAGCGCTGTCAGCTCTGGGGCAGGGCCGCCCGGGCCAGCGGGGTATCAGTCACCTGAGCATCTGCTGAAATAAAAAGATGCTCGCACTCCATCCTCAGAGCCTGATTCAGTAGGTGTGTTGTGGGGCCTGGGCTGCTGTGGTTTAACAGTATCTCAGGCGACTGGGTCCTCTCCAGAGGCACATGGGTAAGACTGCGTACGAGACGCAATCCCTTTCCTCTGTTGAGCTGGAGAGGGATAGGACTCCCAAACGGGCAACAATTCAAGGGGCTGTGAAATCAAAGCCCTTGCGGGGACAGAGTGAGCGACGGGTGCCCTGGGCACAGTCCTTGCTGCAGGTGTCCCGCCCGGAAAGCAGGGGAGGCTGCTTCCCAGCCATGTCCGGTTGGTTCAGAATGGGGGTCTGACTCGGACGGGGCCCATGGGCAGAGTGACCCCTGTACAGAATGCTGAGTTGGGCCAATCAGATGACTGCACTGGGAACCGGAATTGAGAGACCCAAAAAGGAGGTGCTGGTTAGCTGTCGCCGCTGTATGGAAAGCTGGAGCTTTTGCGGGGTGCGCTGGCTGCCGCTGGGGGTTGTGAGAAGTCAGACATGTGGGAGCAGCAATGGGGGAAGCCAAGGTCAGGGTAGGAGCACAGCGGAGGGGTACAGGGAGGCAGAGAGGCTGTGAAGGACAGGCAGACCGAGACAGACAGACTGCTCAGCTCTGAGGGAGGCCCCCGGACTCTGGTACAGCGGTTTCTAGTGGGCATGGATGTCCTGTGATCCCTGTGCAGAGCTCTGGGAGGAACTGGGGAGGGGATCAGCATGGGGACTAGGAGCACGGACCTTGCCAGATGCAGGAGCATGAAGCCCAGTTCCTCTGCTTAGTGGCTATGTAAGCTTGACAAGCTCTTAATCTCTCCATGCCTCAGTTTTCTTGTCAATAAAATGGGGATACGACTAGTAACTGACTTGGGTTTTTCTGAGTAGTAGTCAATGGGTTTGCATACATGAAATGTTTAGAACGTTGTCTGGGATGTGGTAAGCACCTACGTTAGCTCCTGTTATTCTCTTTAGCAGACTCCCCCAGTTAGGCTGGCTTGAGTGGATCGCATGTCCTTGTAAGAGAAAACACGGGACCAAAGCAAACGTTTTAAAAAATTTTTTTAATGTCTTTTATTTATTTTTGAGAGAGAGATAGGGACAAGGTGAGCAGGGGAGGGTCAGAGAGAGGGAGACACAGAATCCAAAGCAGGCTCCTGGCTCTGAGCTGTTAGCACAAAGCCCAACATGGGGCTCAAACCCACAAACGGTGAGATCATGACCTAAGCCGAAGTTGGACGCTTAACCGACCGAGCCACCCAGGCGCCCTGCTAACAGAGATCAGTACTTAGCTTTCTGATTCTTGGTCTTAAGAACAAGGAAGAAGAATCTTGCCATCCCCAGGAAGGGGATGAGTCAGACTGGTTTGGCAGGGTTTCTTAGCACCGACACACTCCATTCCTTCCGGAATGTGGACTTTCGCATCCACTTTCAAGAAATTCACAAAAAGGAGAGGTAGGCCCCACTGACTCATGTTAGGCTGGAGACCTGGAGCCCCAGCAGCCAAGCATCTCAGGACTTGCCTGTATGCGGTCGAAGCAGAGAGAGGCCCGGTATTAATGACAAGAATGAGATAAGGCAGTAACATGCTATGTACCAGAACTAAGATAAAGATCTTTTTACTGGCTTGAAGTAAGTTGTTATTCTGGTAAGAAAGGCCAACATGTTCTCAGGTGTGCTTAGGGCTGTGATCACACACACACACGCGCCCGCGCGCTCACATGGCTGGGCTCGGAGGAAAGAGAGTGGATGAATCAGGGAGTCCAAGCCAGGACTGGATTCCCTAACCCAGACTTCTAGACGGGAGTCTCACTACTCTTTGTTAACCATGAAATAACAGTCCAGAGGCCACTCTGATGGTCTTTATATCTAGCACAGATGAGGTAGTAGTGGCTGATAGGAAACAGTGTACTTTTCTTTGCTCTGGATCTCATTGGCTTTCATTTGTTTAACTGACAAGTATTAAGCTCTGACTGTGTGCTAAATATATACTATGCCATGGGCGCCTGGGTGGCTCAGTCGGTTAAGCGTCTTACTTCAGCTCAGGTCATGATCTAGCAACTCATGGGTTCGAGCCCCACATCAGGCTCTGTGCTGCCACCTTAGAGCCTGGAGCCTGCTTCTGATTCTGTGTCTTCCTCTTTGCCCCTTCCCCACACATTCTCTGTCTCTCTTGTCTCGAAAATGAATAAACATTTAAAAATATATATACTATGCCAGCCAGCGGGGAAATCACACACTGTGCGTCGTCTGTGCCCTCAAAGTGAGCTCTGGGACTCCCCATTCGCTCCCCACCACCCTGGGGATCTTAACCACACACACCAAAGCCCAGAGAAGGACTAACCACAGAGAGGATAGACATCCTCGGAGCGCAGGAAACACTTACAAAGGCAGACAACTAGCAGAATCGGGGTCAATATACACGCGTGGTGTATTATAGCCAAAGAGGCCGCATGTGGTACTTTAAGTTGATAAAGCACATTGATGTCCCACAAGAAATGCACAGCACCTCACACTGCAATGTGATGTGGATGTTTGAGAGAAAGAACAGAGCTGGAAATATAAAAATGGTGAGGGCAAATGCCACGTGTTAGTTTTTTTCTGTTATTTCCCCGTGTATATTTAGAACACAGTAGGAACTCAGTGCGCATTTGCTAAATAACTGAATGACAGTAACAGAACTGATGTCCTCAGCAAAGAGCAAGGGTGAGAGACAGGGAGCCACAAGCAAACGCTAACGATGGTCCCTTAGGGAATGACAACTTGCAGGCACATGAGGAAGGGGAGGGTTTGAGAAAACCAGTGAAGGAGGAGGAATGGCAACAGAAAGGGAGAGGAGAACAGGAGCGAGAATATTCACTCAATGGGGCGCCTGGGTGGCTCAGTCAGTTGAGCGTCCGAGTTTGGCTCCGATCATGATCTCGCAGTTTGTGAGTTCGAGCCCCGCGTCAGGCTCTGTGCTGACAGCTCAGAGCAGGCAGCCTGCTTCAGATTGTGTCTCCCTCTCTCTCTGCCCCCACTCCACTCAATTCTGTCTCTGTCTCTCAAAAATAAACATGAATTATCACTGAAGGAAAATATATATTAATAATATGAGGCATAGGGCGGGGGGGGGGGGGGGTCCTGGCTGGCTCAGTCAGTGGAGCGTGTGACTCTTGATCTTGGGATTGTGAGTTTGAACCCCATGTTGGGTGTAGAGATTACTTGAAAATAAAATCTTTAAAAAAAAGGAAAAGAAAATGTGGCACAGTGTATTTAAAGAAGATTAGGTTTGGCAATAAGCCCTACTCCTGAAACAATTTCTTTAAAATAAACATTTTATTTCACCGAGGTGCATGCAATCCTAGTCTGCCTCTTCGGGCACCTGGTGGCTCAGTCGTTTGATGTTCGACTCCTGATTTTGGCTAGGGTTATGATCTTGTGGTTCCTGGGATCAAGCCCTAGTGCGGGGCTTCCCCTTGACAGTGCAGAGCCTGCTTGGGACTCTCTCTCTCTGTCCCTCCTCTGCTCATACTCTCTCTCTCAAAATAGATAAATAAACTTAAAAAAAAAAAGTCTGCCTCTATACGACTAAATAATTCAGCTTTCATATGCTATCTCCAAGTAAGTGTGTGAACAATATTTGAATTGGAAAGTACATAGCAGTGGCCACATTTTAGACTGCTGTCTCACATTTCACTTTCTAACAAGGTGAGGTTCGATAAGAATGGTAACAAAAGCTCTGACGTAGCGGCAGGTAACATTCAGTAATTGTGGAGAACAAATAGCACTTGTCATATGTGTCTGTCCTTTACTCCCCATGAGCCCTCTTGCAGGTAGAATAATGTAGGGATCATGAGCATGGGCTTTGACCAAACTCCCTCTGTCTGAATCTCAATTCTGTTGTGTTCTAGCTGCCTAACTTTGCTCAAGCAACTTAATCTCCTTGATTTAAAAAAAATATTTTTTAATGTTTATTGTTTTCATTTTTGAGAGAGAGAGAGAAAGAGAGAGACAGAGTGTGAGCAGAGGAGGGCCAAAAAAGAGAGGGAGACATGGAATCCGAAGCAGGCTCCAGGCTCTGAGCTGTCAGCATAGCGCCCGACATGGGCTCGAACCCACGAACCAGGAGATCACAACCTGAGCCGAAATCGGTCCCTCAACCAGACATCCCAAGCAAGTTAATCTCTTTGACCACAATCTTCTCATCTGTAAAATGGGAATAATGGTAGCATACGCACCACAGGGTTTTTTGGTGGGTGCTGATAGAATGTTTCGAGTAATGCCCGGTGCGGTTAGTCAGCTAGCGGGTAACATTAGCAGAGGCAGATGGGGTGGTGTGCGAGTTAACTGCACACCTTTGATCAAGGCAACACAGCTCAGAAGGGATAAGTGCCATAGCCTTGTCCCCAGGTCTGCATGGCCAAATCCTACCCTTTTCACACAATGAGGGTTTTGGATGTAGATGTTCTAATTCCGGACACAGTAAGCTATTTCAAAATAGTAAAAGTCTAATTTTCTGGAGCTCAGAAAAAGTACGGCATATTAAATTAAGTAGGCCAAAAAAGGAAAAGCCAACATAATTAAAGAAAGCAAATCACTAACCGTTTACGATCGCCTGGGTTAACAGCAACTAGCGCTCCTCTATCCCAGATCCTGTCGAATTTGCCGATGTTCACTCTGTCCGGAAGAAAGAAAAACAATACAACGTAAGAAAAATCAATTCCTGAACAAGACGAACAGCGCCCCTTGTGGCGCGTGCTGGTATTTCACCGGCTATTAAGGAATTGGGTCTCCAGTCTGCTTTCTTGGGGAGTCTCCAGGGGCAACTTCCAGTCTTGGGGGCTGGTGGCTGAGCTAGCTTCCCCTTTCCTCTCTGACCTGGGAGTACGTAGGAGGCCCCGAGGACTATGTGACGATCTGCTCCCAGTTCCGGGAACAAGTATCTGGGACTTTCCAGAGATGAGATGTCACCACCTTCTGCACTTCGAAACTCCTTTCTGTTACAGACCAGGTGTGAAGTGGAGACACTGTCTTGCTCCCCCTACCTGCCTAGAGTCATAAGAATGTTTTCCGTGTCCTGGAAGCTATCCAGGGACAAAGATATCAAATGTGCAGACATGTAGGCTGTACTAAAAAGAACTGCAAGGCAGAGATTCAAATTAATGCTATTGCAAGCAAACGACGGGAATGAAAAGACCCTTCCCCACCCAGCACTGCCTGGCAAGCCCTCAAGTTACTAAAAGTGCAGAGGTGCTGGGGGCCTGGGTGGATCAGTCGGTTGAGCATCCAACTTTGGCTCAGGTCATGATCTCACAGTTTGTGGGTTCGAGCCCTGCGTCGGGCTCTGTGCTGACAGCTCAGAGCCTGGAGCCTGCTTCCAATTCTGTATCTCCCTCTCTCTGTCCATCCCCTGCTCACTCTGTTTCTGTCTCTCTCAAAAAATAAATAAAACATTAAAAAAAAAAAGAAATTTAGAAAAAAAAAGTGCAGAGATGGTATTCAGTCCTACCTGGGAAGATCAAAAAGGTTGCAACAGTACAATGAAATGTTCCCTGAAGAACTCTGTAAGGAAAGGCAAGGAAAAAAAAATTCTGTTTAATTAGGAGATATGTGAATGGTGAAGGAAAAGACAAGAGAGGCAAAGCAAAAGGGGTAGAGAGAGAATATGTAATTAAACATGAAGAATGTGGGGTGCCTGGGGGGCTCAGTCGGTTGGGCGTCTGACTTTGGCTCGGGTCATGATCTCAGGGTGTGTGAGTGCAAGCCCCACATCAGGGTCACTGTTGTCGGCACAGAGCCTGCTTTAGATCGTCTGTCCCCACTCCCCCTGTTCTCACAGTTCATGAGTTCCAGCCCCGCATCGGGCTCTGTGCTGACAGCTCAGAGCCTGGAGGCTGCTTCTGATTCTGTGTCTCCCTCTCTCTCTGACCCTCCCCCATGCGCTCTCTCTCAAAAATAAATAAACATTAAAAAAATAAACACAAAGAATGGAATTGTACTGCAAATAATTTTTTTTAATGGCGCTTTTGTTTAGACCCATATGGGGTTCTTTTGGATCAACTTGAAGAGAAAACTCAGAGAGAAGTTAACCCTGAAGATTAGATAGCTATTGTACGTTCCAGAGCTTGTTCAATTTAAACAATATTTACTTTAGCAGACTCCTGATATTTTGACGCTGTTAAAGATAGGTAAACAGGCCAAACAGGCAGGTAGACAAAGGTCAGATATTTTTAACGTCATTCATGCAAAGTATGGTTGTGTGGACGGACCTCTCTTTCCTTGCCCTTCACCCTCAGCCCCACCCCCAGGTTTCTCACATCCCTGGACACAGCAGAGTCCAGGTCATCCCTGGACCGCACAGCCCCAGCCCACCCCGTGTGATGTGGGCAGATACATCCAGATACGGCCTTTCCCTGGTGCTCTCGGGCAGGCTGTGCTCTGTCTTCCGGGTTCTCACGTTCTCAGGCACAACCAGAACGCTACAGACCATCCTGTTTGTAATGTTACTCTGTGCCCACGCCGCTCTGCTCTACTGGCCTGTCCTCACCGCGGTCAGAGGCTGTGCCAACTTCACACCCACTCTCTAGAACCTGGGATAGTTCTGCCCACAAGGTGCTCAGGCCAATGAGCTGATGAATGCAAGAGAGAAAAACAGGAGTCCACATGCACCTGTTGGATTTTATTCTGAAATGATGCACCAACAGGGACTTACAAATAGAGGAAGGGTCTCTAAAAAAATTTTTTTAATGTTTTATTTATTTCTGAAAGAGGCAATGCCTCCTCCCCACCAAGGATAAAAGCAGGTGTGGCTGCCTTTTAAGAGATATTAAATGCTTTTATTTTCAATATTAAAAAAAAAAAAAAGAGGCAGCATGAGCAGGGGAGGGTCAGAGAGAGAGGGAGACACAAAATCCAAAGGAGGCTCCAGGCTCTGAGCTGGCAGTCAGCACAGAGCCCGACGGGGGGCTTGAACCCACGAACCGTGAGATCATGACCTGAGCTGAAGTTGGACGCTTAACCAACTGAGCCACCCAGCCGCACCCCCCCAAAATTTTTTCTTAAATTCTTTTTAATGTTTTATTTATTTCTGAGAGAGAGAGAGAGAGACAGCGTGAGCAGGGGAGGGTCAGAGAGAGAAGGAGATAGAGAATCTGAAGCAGGATCCAGGCTCTGAGCTGCCAGCACAGAGCCTGATGTGGGGCTCAAACCACGAACCGGGAGATCATGACCTGAGCCGAAGTCAGACACTCAACCCGACTGAGCCACCCAGGCGTCCCAGAGGAAGGGTCTCTAAAAACCAGTCTGGATGCACCGTGGGGGGCAACGCAGAGGGGTGGGTGTGTGGGCAGGGGGGACAGCCAGGGAGTCTCAACTTTGGGGAGCTCTGAATAGTGTTGATGCCTGGCCCCACCCTTCGAGATTCTGATGTAACAGGCTGGGGGGAACCCTCAGATCTGGAATTCTGAAAGACCCACAGCCCTCTGCAAATGTGCCCCGGAGGCTGAGAGCCATTGACTGCTCCAGGACTAGCCTCTTTGTACTGAGTAAACCCTGGGATTCTTAGACGATTTCAGAACGGGAGTGGAGAGGAAGCCGTAAAATAAAGTACTATCTGAGCCTCCTACTGACCCACAGTTAGTGTCAATGTTTAGAAAGGAGAGTACTTTGTAAGAGACTGAATGTACTGGTGGACAATGGCCAGACCATGTAGGACTAGAGAATTTGGACCCGTGACTTCTGTGGCTGATGATGTGTCAGCAGGTTCTAGGGGCGCCTGGGTGACTTGATTTTGGCTCAGGTCGTGATCTCAGTGTGGTGGGATCGAGCCCTGTGTCAGGCTCTGTGCTGAAAGTGCGGAGCCTGCTTGGGGCTCTCTGCGTGTGTGTCTCTCTCTCCCCCTCGGCCCCTCCCTTGTTCATGTGCTTTCTCTTTCTCTAAAAAAAACAAAGAACAGCCTTTCTTGTTCCCATTTGGGTGGTCTTTTGTCCCCACATTATTCCCCCACGGAGGCGAAGCCGTGTCCCTGGCTAGCTGTGGTCACAGGGTGAAGACCACTCCCAGATCTATCACTTGCGGCCCAGACGCCACCCTGAGACAGAAAGCCATTTGCCCGCTATGCCTTCACCATTCCACAGGTCCCTTAAACTCCAAACTCATCATCCCGAGACGAAAACTTATTTTCTCCGCCCCTTGAGCTTGTTTCTCGTTTATTCTCTGCCATCCATTCCAGTCATCTTGGCTGAAAGAGCAAACTCAGCTCCGCCTCGATCCACACTCAGCGCATCTTACATCCTGCCAGTCTGACATCCTAAACACTGCTCAGAGCTGCCCGCTCCCCTCTCGGTCTTCTCGCTCTCCCCAGTGCCAGCCTTCAGGAGCTCTTCTCTGGACCTTTGTGCACAGCTGGGAGGCCACTTCCTTTCAAATTTACTTCCCTTGACGCCACAAGGGTGGTTTGTCTCAAAAGAAAATCTGGCTCCATCGGGCCCCTACTTAAAACCCTTCCTGCGCAGGATGAAGGATCAGCTTTGCAGGGCATCCGAGACCGGGCACTAGACGGCCTGCCCGTCCCAGCGCTATGTGTCACCGCACTTCAGTGAGCACTGAGAAGCTGGGTTAGGGGACTCTCCTGTCTGTACCCTTTATACCCTGTGTCATTACACTTAGCTCCGTGTGTGACAAACAGCTTTCTCTTTGTTTCTCTTCTCTCCGAAGCTAAGAGATTCTTTAGGGCAGGGACTATGTTTTGGTCTCTTCAATGTCCTTTGCAGGGAGCGGCGCAAGAAATTCCCAGAAATGCCTGTTTATAAATAAAACTAACAAACCCAAATCAAAACCATGAGTATGTATAGGCTTTGACATCAGCCATTAAAAAAATTTATTTTAATAAATTTGTTTTTTGAGAGAGAGAGAGAAAGAGAGAGAAACAGAGCATGAGTAGGGAAGGGGCAGAGAGAGGGAGACACAGAATCCGAAGCAGGCTCCAGGTCCTGAGCTGTCAGCACAGAGCCTGATGTGTGGCTCAAACTCACGAACGGCAAGGTCAAAACCTGAGCCAAAGTCGGTCACTTAACTAACTGAGCCACCCAGGTGCCCCAACATCAGCTCTTTACTACATTTGTACATATCTAGCTATCATCTTTTTAAGCCCTAGTTCTTTAAACTCTATAGTGTCCAGGTAAATCTGATAAAGTGAAGTCATGTGACATCTGACATATGTAGAGTAATTTACACTAAGAAAAACCTTTTTCATGGTGGGGGCGGTGGGGTATGGAAATACTTATTTACCAAAAACAAAACATACCTTGAATACTTTGGCTCCAGGAATTTCTATGATGGGCTCTTCTGAGTAAGAAAGATTCTGTTCTGTAAAAAATTCCCGAATCCCAAGCTCACTGATTTCCACACCTACTACACGGTGTCCTCGGTCTGCAAACCTGCATGAAATCGTATTAGTCACACTTAAAAATTTTCTTTTGGATATATTACTAAATTAAAGGGCATACCCCAATAAACATTCAGTTCCCTTAATTTTAGGGGATTAGCATACACTCGGGTTCAAGGGTTTCACAGAACTTGTAGGGAAGTGGATCTGTATATTTTTAAGCTTAGTGGTACCTGGAATTCTAAAAAATTGATTTATATGACCTTAGAAAAAAAATAAAAAATTTGAAAAACCATACCTTAAAACACTGATCTACTACAAATGGATCTGACTTGAAGAGTTTCTAATTTAAAAGCATCCTGCAGGTTGGAAATGCTTTATAATTTCTCTAAACCAGCCCTGTCCATTAAAACTTTCTGTGATGATGGAGGGGTCTGTACCTATACTGTCCAATCCACTGGCCGCTAAGCACACTGGGTACTGAGCCCAGGAGATGTGGCCAGTGTGATTTAGTTTAAATTAAATAACACATACGGCCAGTTCTGCTATAATGCAACATAGGCAGCCCTCAAAATCACTGTGCTCTGCGAAACCATGCAATAAAAACCAAAAGGCTTATGGGGAAAATGGGAGTGGGACACAAATAAAAAAAACTTTGTCACAATGGAACATCATTCAGCCATTCAGCACGGAGCCTACTTAGGATTCTCTCTTCCTCTCTCAGCCTTTTCCCCCGGTCACACTGTCTCTGCCTCTCTTGAAAATAAATAAACTTAAAAAAAAAAAAAGAGAGAATGAAATCTTGCCATTTGTGACTACATGAATGGACCTTGAGGGCATTATGCTAAATGACAGAAGTTAAACAGAGAAAGACAAATACAGTATGGCCTCACTTACACATGGAATCTAGGAGCGCCTGGGTGGCTCAGTGGGTTAAATATCTGCTTTCAGCTCAGGTCATGATCTTGTGGTTTGTGAGTTCGAGCCCCGCATCGGGCTCTGTGCTGACAGCTCAGAGCCTGGAGCCTGCTTCAGATTCTGTGTCTCCCTCTCTCTCTCTGCCCCTCCCCTGCTCATGCTTTGTCTCCCTCTGTCTCAAAAATAAATAAACTATTAAAACAAATTTACACGTGGAGTCTAAAAAAAGAAAGAAAGAATAAAAAGGCTCATAGATTCAGAGAGCAGGCAGGTGGTTGCAGGGGTGGAATGTGGTCAAAATGAGTGAAAGGGGGTCAAAATCCTGAGTTGGAAAATAAGTAAGGCATGGGGATGTAATGCACAGGATGTTATACAGTATTATAGTTAATAATACCATATTACATATTTGAAAGTTGCTCAGAGAATAGATCTTAAAAGTCCTCATCACAAGAAAAAAAAATTCTCCATGTATGGTGAGGGATGTCAAATAGACTTACTGTGGAGATTCGCAATATATACAAATATTAAATCATTATACACCTAAAACTAACATGATATTATATGTCAATTATACTTTAATTTTTTTTGAAAAGCTCTTACACATTGGTCATAACTTCTCTCTGTGACTCTGGATTTTCTCAAAAATATACAGTGAAAATTTAGAAGCAAATTGCATAAATAATACATTAGGATAAAAAAAACTTGTCAGTGCCACATTAAAAAGAAGAAAGGCAGAGGGTGCCTGGGTGGCTCAGTCAGTACAGCATGTGACCCTTGACCTCAGGGTTTTGAGTTTGAGCCCATGTTGGGTGTAGAGATTTCTTAAGGAAAAAAAAACCCATGAAAGGAAAAAAAAAAGAAGACAGGAACCAAATAGCAATGATGGTACAGTTTTACACATTATATGGTTACAAAATATATAAATATTACTGTGGCATTGTGACATTGAGTGTGACATTGAGGAAGACCTTACTCACAGAAGTGAACGCTGGCAGGAAGGCGGCTTCTAAGTTACTCTGCACTGAGAGAAGGGGATGACTTTAGAGTTCTCACAGCGACAGTGGATGGGAGTGGCTCAGGGCACACTGGTGAACTGAGTGGGGTGTGTGCATGGGTGTGTTTTGTCCCTTCACACACAGCTTCACTCAGCTGCTCTTCCCTCATGTTTCTTGTAGATGAAATTACACATAAATGGGGCGCCTGAGTGACTCAGTTGGTTAAGCGTCCAGCTTCAGCTCAGGTCATGATCTTGCAGTGAGTTCAAGCCCCACGTCAGGCTCTGTGCTGACAGCTCAGAGCCTAGAGCCTGTTTCAGATTCTGTGTCTCCCTCTCTCTCTAACCCTCCCCTACGTGTGCTCTGTCTCTCTTGTTCTCAAAAAAAAAAAAAAAGAAATCACACCTAAGTGAATGTGAAATTCACGTCACGCTCAAATTGTCCCCTGATTTATTGGTGGAGTTACAGTAAAAGCAGCATTTTCAAAAAGAGGTATAGCAGAACAGACTGTATCTATCGTCTATCGTCTGCACAAGACTACCACATTCAATGAGGTCAGAGCATGAACTGTTTTACAGCTCTAAAATAAACATATTAACAACTTTCATATTTCCCACTGAATTCGTAAGTTAATATACGAAGAATATTTTTATTGTATTATTTGTTTATATACTAAAAGATTGAAAAAAAAGTTTTTAAAAATTTTTATTAAATAGGCTCCATGCCCAGTGTGGGGCTTGAACTCACAATCCTGAGATCAAGAGGTGCATGTTCTACTGACTGAGCCAGCCAGGTGCCTCCAGGGAGTGATTTTGGGTTTTTTTTTTTTAATTCTTCATACAAAGTTATCCACACTGGCTGTGAAGATTTTTATTTATATTTGACATACGGAAAAACAGACTATAGCCTATTATAGACTGGCATAGGCTGGATTATATTGGAATATACCATCCTTAAAAAAAAACCTAAGCAAATGTCTTAAACATTTTAACACTTTTGGGTCTTGCCTCATAGTTATCTATTCACATCTGATGTCCGTATAGACCCTAACACACAAATTAGACACATAAATGAAAACTCTTCTAATATAATAAACTTGCAATTCTAACAGCTTAGTTGTGGTATTTTTACATTTTTTAAATTTATTTTGAGAGAAAGAGCGAGAGCGAGCACGAGTGGGGGAGGGGCAGAGAGAGAAAAAGAGAGAATCCCAAGCAGGCTCCAAGCTGTCAGTGCAGAGCCCGACACGGGGGTAGAACTCATGGACTGTGAGATCATGACCTGAGCCAAGATCAAGAGTCAGACGCTTCAACAACTGAGCCACCCGGGTGCCCAGCTCTGATATCTTTATTACACATGACTTTGGACCCAAATATGTGACAATCACATTTAATTGTCTGTTTCCTCATTCCATTTACTAATCTTGTCGCAAAACCTCTGCTAGCACTAGATTGTGAACACTTAACCACAGGGCAATAAGACCGTCTGTTTCTAGAGTTCATGCTTTTCTTGTAAGGAGTTTCCAAAGCAACTCTTCTGGTTCCATGAGTTGGTTAGGGAGAAGTCTAGTAATATAGTTTAAATATTCTCAATGTCATGGCCACAGTGGAATCTTAAGCCATAGCACCCATGTCACAGATGCCCAGCAACAAGTTGAGCCTGTGGGTGTGCTGGCTGCAAGAACGCCACATCTGTACTTGAAAATCAGCTCCAAACACATTCACGTTCTGTGGGTCAGCCACCTACGTTTTTATAGGAAACGGAGCATTTTCAAGTTATTCAAGTTTTCATTTACTAATCTTTTTAATACTTTAAAATTTTCTTTCCTGCCTAATCATCAAAATTCTCAACATTCAAGATTATAAGTTAAAAAAAATGTTTTTAGTGTTTATTTTTGAGACACAGAGAGAGCGAGCGAGCGAGTACAAGAAGGGGAGGGGTAGAGAGAGGGAGACAGAATCTGAAGCAGGCTCCAGGCTCTGAGCTCTTAGCATAGAGCCTGACATGGGGCTTGAACACACAAACCGTGAGATCATGACCTGAGCCGAAGTTGGACATTTAACCAACTGAGCCACCCAGTCGCCCCTCAAGGTAATAAATTAATGGTACTTCTTGGCATGTCCGGGCATGATTACCACAACTGAGTCACGTATAGAAGACGACTGCCAGGTTTGTGACTTTAGGATAATCTATAGTAATAGTGGCTTGCGCGAATTAAAGTGAGTTCTTCGATTACTCACAAGAAATACTTTCCTCATCAATGGTTTTGTAACAATGATTCTTGAAAACAACTGCCTATGTGCTCATGGTTGGAGGGGAGAGTAGAATTGAACCGTGGGCTACATGTTGTCTTGCCAAAGAGTTGTAATTCATTTTGAATTTGTCTGTCCACCTCTAATCAAACTATCTTAAAATTAACTCAGCCAAATTCCTAAGCCACCTATAAAAAGGAAACTGTGCACAAAGATATCGCAGACCTAAGGGAGAAGGCTAGTTGCCTGTGCCCCCTGGGCCCCCACCACTGGTTCCAAATCATAATTATATTTATATAATTATAAATAAATTATACTTTTTCTTAGAAGCTCAATACAGAATGGCCACACCTCTGTTACTGCTGTGTCCTACTGTCTGAGAATATTATCTCTATGAACCCAGCAGTAATAGCCTACCATAAATGAAGAATCCCTGTGTATTTTCTGGGAGTGGAATTTTTAAACCTCTATCCTTTTAAATATTCGCCAAAAGTACTTGTCATCAAGACAAGAAAGTGTGTTAATTCTCATCTGCTCTTACCATTTCATCTCAACTGCTTTTCCACAAAGAGGAAAAAATACTCTCAGATCATTCTCGTCTTTGAGGAAAGTATCCAAATGCTTCTTTAATAACCTGGGAAGAAAAAAATACATATTTCTGCTTTCTTTAGCCCAACGCACAGAGGAAAGGACTACAAGCGTATGATGCTAAATACTTTTCATGCATTATCTCACTTAATATCCCCTACAATTTTACAAAATAGGTAACATTCATTATTACACTCTCCAGTTTATATAATGAAGAAAAAGAAGGTTAAATAACTTGCTTAGTTTCATAGCTAGTAAGTAATCTGATTTCATTAACCCTGGAACTTTCCTCATTTGTAATTAAAAGTTATTTTTCTTGGTTGATAGGTTTTGAAAATTCTTTACTAATTCCTGAATGTATGCGTGTGTGTGTGTGTGTGTGTGTGTGTGTGTGAGAGAGAGAGAGAGAGAGAAAGAGACTGGGAGCCACTGGGCCCACTGAACTTTTCAACATTCATTTTATGGGAAGCTCTCTAAATGTGTGTTCATGTCTCAGACTCTGAAAAGTTTAACTCTGCAGTTAATTCCCTCTGTAGAGATGTGGCTTTCTGAGGCCACCCACATGACAAAATAACCCATATAATGGTTCTGGGAAGGTGCACCAACTACCACTCAGTGTGAAAATATGGTAATAGTAACGACGATGATGATGTAATCCCCTGGGAAGTCAGAGTAGCTGCCTGAACAAGTCTGACCACTTTACTGAGCACTGGCCCACTGCTCAACATCCTAGTTCACATATTAATTTTTCCTCAGCTTCTTTTCCCCCATATAGGAGGAAAAAGTGTTTTATAGATAACACTTTACATTTGAACACATGCTATTGGAAAGCAAAGTCGGAACACCGCCACCTTTCAGTATAAAGAGATACACGTTAAGGCGGGCATCTGCCATATATGTAAATATGCATGATCAATACACAGGTGCTACAGGGGCTTAAAAAAAGATGTATTTCATAAATCTCAGATGCCTTCAACTGTAAGACACCATGATCTATATACACCCTGGAAAGAGCTAACATTGCTGATTAACCTAAGACATGCCAGAGAGGCGCTGTGTTTCAGAGATGCTAAAAGGTGAAAAACTAAAAAAGTGCACCTTATAATCAGTCAGATATTGTGTACCTATATTACACAGAGTCAGTCTCAGATGTCAGTCTATTTCCAGAGTCAGTTTCAGATGGAGCGTGTCGCTGTTATATAGACCAAACATTTCTTACTGATGTCCTTGTTCTTGATGAAATCCAATTTTATGGTCCACCCACTTCTCTTGCCATTCTTCCAGAGTCAGTACTCGGCTTTTCTGTACCTCGGTATCGGGGTACTCTTTAACATCGAGTAAAGTGCTTTTATCATCCATAGTTTTGTGGACACTTTGCCTTACAAACAGATGCCTCCGATACCTGCACGGAAAATATTACAACATTACAAGTGTTGTCATTTAAGGGCATCGCAATTCTATTGATGAATGAAATAAAAACCTATTATCCTTTATTCTCTCTCTCTCTCTCTCTCTGCCCCGCCCCCACTCCCAAGTACATGGCCCCACTCTCTCTCAACATAAACCTAAAAAAGAGAACCTATTATCCTTAGCAGTGTGGCTTTTAAAAATATTTCAACATCCAAGGAAAAGCCATCCAAAAGATTACTTCTCAGCGAGTCTGATTACCTCATATTACATATCAGGAAGGATCTTTAAATAAACTGAATTAGATCTTTAAAAAAATGCTTATTCACTTTTGAGAGAAAGAGAGGGCGTGCATGCACCTGCATGCATGCAGGGAAGGGACAGAGGTAGAGAGAGAACTCCAAGCGGACTCTGCATTGTTGGCGCAGAGCCAGATGAGGGGCTCAAACTCACGAACCATGAGATCATGACCTAAGCTGAAACTAAGAGTTGATGCCTAACTGATTAAGCTACTCAGGCACTCCAACATAGACGTGGCCGATTTTTAATTAAACATTTGGAGTAAACATTATTACGACCAGTTAAATACTAGTCACAGCTAAACCACATAGTATTCTATGATTACTTTTCCTTTTCTGCACAACTTTTTATTCTCTAGTTAATAACTGTCTTACTTTTTCATTTATATAAAATCCCTATGTACCTCTGACTAGTTCAGCTATAAGGTCTACCAGTTGTCCCAATCTCCTGTAGGTACTTTCTCAGTCTCTTATCAGATATTCTACCAATAGCAGCATCTTGGAGAAGACTCTCTGGGAGCTTTCTGACCTAGACGTTCCCTGTTCCTACTGCAGAGCTAGCATTCTGGCATTGCTCTTGATTATTACCCTGAAGATCTTCTTCTCTTAATGAATCTTTCTTTTATCCTTTCTTTTCTTTTTTTAATTTTTTAATTTTTGTTTTCTGAGAGAGAGAGAGAGAGACAGCATGAGCAGGGGAGGGTCAGAGAGAGAGGGAGACACAGAATCCGAAGCAGCTCCAGGCTCTGAGCTAGCCGTTAGCACAGAGCCCGACGTGGGGCTTGAACCCACGAACTGTGAAATCATGACCTGAGCCGAAGCCGGATGCTTAACCGACCGAGCCACCCAGGCGCCCCTGCAGCTTTCTAAGAAAGGGTGCCCAGGAGGAAAGGTTTTCGTGATTTTTCTTGTACAACATGACTTCAAACTATTCCAGATCTTTCTATACCTAGTTTTGCTAGGTATAGAATTCTTGGTTGGAAATCTTTTCCTCTCACAATTTAAAAAAAAGTCTTTCCATTGTCCTCTCGCTTCCAGGGGTACTGCTTAAGTTCAAAGACATTCTGATCCTGATATTTTCCAGGTCAATGTTTTTCTCTCGCTTAAAGCTCTTCTTTGCCCCTAGTTTTTCCAATTTCATAATTCTATGCCTTCTTTTGAATCTGTTTTCAACCATTTGGCTGAGTTTTTTTTTTTAATCTGTGTCATAATCCTCAACGCTGGAAATATTCTTGAATTATTCAGATAATAATTTATGTCCACCTTTTGTTTCTATTTCTCTTTCTCAGACCCCTTTTATTTGGCTGTAGACTATCCTGACCTAGTATTGTAAATTTCTCGTATTTTGCCCCCCATTTTCCAGCTGTTCATCTTTTGTTCTATTTTCTGAGAGACTGCCTTCATGTGTATCTTTCTCTATTTAGTTTTTAAATAAAACTTTTTATTTGGTTTTTCTTTCCTGCTATCAGTCTTATTTATCTGCATAGTCTGCTGCTTATGAGTCACTTTTTCTGTTTTTTGTCTTCTGTCTTTCCAACTGGTGACTTTCCTCAAATGCCTAGCAGTTCTTATATCTGCTCATATTTAAGAATAGTACAGAAAGCTGATTAGATGTTTAAATATGTGGGTGGGCTCACTGACTGTAAGCTTCACCTTAAGGATGATGTGAGTGGATTTCATGTGGAAATCTAGATGTCATTATCTTTGTCTTCTTTTGACTGGTTAGACTTTCCATAGATGGATCTCTCAGTCCCTGTGACAAGGATCAAGTCCTTGGAAGCCATGGTTCTATACTCACAAAAGAGAAGGACACAACTGAGAAGGTTGCAGCATTCAGTTTGCCTGTGTTCAATTAATCTCCATTTTCAGTATGGCACTCAAATCCCTAACTGTGTATTTGTATCTCCCCAGTCCAGAGGTTCCTTACCTTCTGCAGGGAATAAACCCCCAAAGTCTGCTGGTGTGGCAAGAGATAGATATTGTGTTGCAGGGACTTGGGAAAGGGGTCTGGGGATTTAGCCTTTTCTGAACCAGAATTTCAAAGGATGCTCCTACATTCAACCACACCCTTTCACCTCCCAGAGGAACTTAGTGCTGTAATTCCTGAGCATGTGGGGATTCTATAATGCAAATGGGGTTGCTTACTGGCCTTATCCATGACTGGTTAAAGCTTAGCTTTCTTCAGGGGCACCTGGCTGGTTCAGCTGGTATAGCATGTGACTCTTGATCTCAGGTTCAAGAGATCAAGGGTCATGTGTTCAAGTCCCATATTGGGCATGGAGCCTACTTTAAAAAAAAAAAAAGAATTTAGCTTTCTTCACTCTGCAAAATCCTTTACCAACTTGCCCATCTGCAATTTTATTGCTTTTGTCTCCCTACCCTACTGCTGTTTTTTTAAAAAAAATTTTTAATGCTTATTTTTGAGAGAGAGAAAGAGACAGAGGGAGACAGAGGGGTGGGGCAAAGGGCTCAGGAGACAGAATCCAAAGCAGGCTCCAGGCTCTGAGCGGTCAGCACAGAGCCCGGCACGGCTAAGGAACCACCAGATGGTGACCTGAGCTAAAGTTGGACACTTAACCGACTGAGTCCCCCAGGCGCCCCTACCCTATTGCTGTTTTGGTGGGCTTTCAGGAAGGAGCAAAGTTAGATATATGGGTTTGATGTCCTGTCTCTATTCCATAAGTTTGTGTTTTCAAATAAATTTTCTTGCAATTTATTTTTGCATGAGAAAAGGCACACAAGACAACTGGGGAAAAAAGACACTTAAGCATAACTCCAAGTCCATCTGAACATAGGAGGAAAATGCCTGTCCTTTCCATGTGACCCCTGTTACACTAAGGACAATACAACACCATACTAACATACCCTTTGAGTCATTAGTGAAACTAGTTTGGAGTATGCTCGCATGCTATTATTGGTGGGTCTAATTTAACGATTTATCCGTAAGAATAGTAAACATCACATAAAAGCAGGTATTTCTGGAAAAGTTCCCTTTACTGCAAAATTTGGTTTTCGTGTGCTTGGGATTTAAGAAGGGACTTCCCTTGGAGCGGAGAACATAAATTCACTTCTCAGCCAACATTCATGAACAAAGGCTTTTGTAAGGTCCTGTTGATATCAGGAGGTGATTCTCAGTTTTCTGAGAGGTCAAGGGCAACTGTCTGATTACACTGGGTACAGAAAAGCAAAAAAGAGTTGCAGTTTTGGCATCTACATTTTCAGCCAGAAACTTTGGAACCTCAGCTTGAGCTCTCATAAAACATAATTTTATCATAGAACCAGGGCAACTTGGAATGGTACACTTCCATTCCTTTCACACAAACTTGAAACAGAAGTTAACATCCTGTATATAACTTAACCAAACTCTTAGCTGTTCTAAGTTTCTCAGTGTACACTTGTCCACATGCCTTTTTAGAGAATAAGAAGTTTCTTTCTATTACAAGTGTGAATTATAGGGGTGCCTGGGTGACGCATTCAGGTAAGCATTCAGGATTTTGATTTTGGCTCAGGTCATGATCTCTCTGTGTTGAGATGGAGCTCCTGGGGGGTGGGGGGTGGGGAGCGGGTTCTGTGTACTGAGCGTGGGACCTGCTTAAGGGTGTCTCCCTCTGCCCCTCCCCCACGTGCCTGTGCATGTTCTCAAAAAAAATTTTAAGAAAAGTACAAATTATAACAATCAGGAAAGGCAAAATCCACAATTATTCCTACCTACACACGGAAACAGATGTGCTAGTTTGGCCCCCAAATCCTCCCTGGGCTGACTCTCAAGTACGGTTTTCTCTCTCAACTTTTCAAAAAAACCATGTTTCTATTTTCGATTTTTATTTTTTATTATTTTTACAGAGAGAGCTCGTCCACGAGCAAGGGAGAGGGGCAGGGACGAAGAGAATCGTAAGCAGGCTCCATCTCACAACCCTGGGATCACGACTTGAGCTGAAATTAAGAGTGGCGGACTGAAAATAAAAATATTAAAAAAAAAAAAAAAGGGGGGGGTGCGCCTGGGTGGCTCAGTCGGTTGAGCGTCCGACTTTCGCTTAGGTCATGATCTCGCGGTTCGTGGGTTCGAGCCCCCCGTCGGGCTCTGTGCTGACTGCCGGCTCAGAGCCTGGAGCCTGTTTCAGAGTCTGTGACTCCCTCTCTCTCTGACCCTCCCCTGCTCACGCTGTCTCTCTCTCTCTCTCTCTCCTAGAAATAAATAAAAATATTTTTTAAAAAAAGAGTGGCGGACTGAACCACACGGGTGCCCCCTAGATTTATTTTTAAACGTTGCTAAATTGAAAAATAACTTCTCTAAAGTGCACAAATTTGAACAGTATGGCTCAATCAGTATTTAGACATGCATACAACTGTGTAACAACCTTGAAGCAAGACAAAATCTTTCCAGCACCCCAGTTCCCACCCCCCAATCCCTACCCTCACCCCCGCCGTCGCCCCTAGAGCATCGCTGACCATTTAACACGTTATTTCCCTTTTCTTAAAAACCACTAACAGAGGACGATGCTTTGGGGGCACTTTAAAATCCTGGACTCAGAAAGGTCGTTCACGACGCGACCTCGTTATTCCCAGATCCCATTGTGCTTCCTGGATTCCATTTCGGGGCGTACGTTGCCGGGCTGCCCACGCTGATCAGGGTGCCCCATTCCGGAATCCGATCACAAGCTCCCCCAGCAAGTCCAGCCATCTCCCCCGCCCCTCTCAGCGTGCAGGTGAGCCTACCTCGCGCGCAGCTCGCAGCCAGCACTCTGCAGCCGGCTCCCGCGCCGCCTCGGGCCCCGAGGGCCCGGACTGCGCGCCCCGCCCCCGGGCCCGCCCCTCCCCGGCGCCCAGACCCCGCCCCCTCCCCGGCGCCCAGACCCCGCCCCCCGCCCCAGGCGCCCCGGCTTGCGCCGCGGCGGAAATGGCCGGGGCGGGGCCAGCGCCGCGGCGAAGGGGAAGGCGGGGACCCTACTCCTCCCTCGTCCCGCCGGCTCCTCCCACCCCGGGTCACGCCGTGACAGGGGCGGAAGCGGCGGCGGCGGCGGCGGCCGAGCGGGGGCTGCGGCTCGCGGCGCGGATCGTGCTGTCTTGTGCGCGCGGCGCGCGGCGCGCGGCTCCGGAGAGGCGCCGGCAGCTGCGGCCGGCGCGCGGCGTCCCGCCCGCGCTCCCAGGTGCGGGGCACGCGGCTCCGGGGGCGGGCGCGGGGGCGGCGGCGGATTTCGGGTGACAGCTCGGCACAAAGCGGCTGGGCTCGGGTGCAAGCTGCCTCTCTCCGCGTGTGCAGCGCCCCTCGCCCGGGTGGGAGGTGGACGGGTGCGCCGGGGGCTGCCCGCGCCCTCACGGGATTGGAAAGGGCGTGCGGGCTCCACAGGGGGAGGGGGGGGGGCAGGGATTCCCGGGCTGGCGTGTTGCGGCGACGGGGTTCCCGGATCCGTCGCGGGGCTGAGGGTCTCTCCGAATCCCCCCACACGCCTCGCTTGCTTTCTGTGCGGCGGTGCCTTCTCGCCCCGACTCCCTGCACCTCTCCGGCGCCAAGGTGAGCCCGGGAGGCTGTTGCTTCTCCGACTTCGGAGAGCGAGGCGCCGGGAACGCCGGGGGTCTCTCCTGGGGACTGTCAGAGCTCTGTCACCCGCGGAGCGCCGGCCGCCGGCGTCGAGCCCGCAGGCCGGGGGCGGGAACCCCCTCGGTGTGGCGGCGGGGCGCCCGCCCGCACAGCCGCGCAGGTGTCGCGGGAGCCCTCCCGGCGCAGCCACCACGCGTTCAGACTCGAGCGGCATTGCCACCTCGCTGGGGTAACTCCCCCGGGCGCGGGGACCCGGCGGGGGCGGCCGGGGTTTGGGGGAGCGGTTAGTCCCCAGCCCGGCAGCTGGCAGGTGAAAGAGGAAGGAAGCGAGGCAGGCCCAGCTGTAGAAAGTTAGGGTTCCGTACTAGGGAATGTAGCCGGCTAGAGGCCCAGCCGTCCCCGGGGTGGGGCGCCGGAGTCCCCAAACCACTCCACTGGGGGAGCGCCGTCACTCCACAGGTATGCACACGACCCAGGGCTTCTGCGTTTTGTTGCTTGCTTTTAAAAAAAAAAAAAACAAAAAAAAAACCTATTGTAGTGGAAGAAAGTGGGCGGGAAGCAGGTTTCTTCAGAAGGTACAGGAAAAAGTGACCATGAATAATTAAATTGTCCTTCAGGCAGTGAAGAGAGTCACTGAAGCATTCAGGCAACTGCACACGTTCCATATTTCGGGAAATTTGATGAGCGTGGGTGCAGTAAGGTGCTAGGCCCATCGAATTTTAAAGTGGCCCTGAGGGAAGTTCTTGTTTCTGGTGCCTCTGAAGAAGTTTCTAGTGGTTTATCTTAGTTTTTAGAAATTATGCCGATGCCGTTGTAAATGTTTATTTCATCCAGAAGTCTTTTGGATTCATATTTTTGTCAATTTTATGGTTTTTTAAAAATTATTCAATAGGCTACTTCAGAAAAGCCTTGGGAATTATTAAAGTAGAAATCTAGATACTGAAAATCCATGTATATATTTAACCCCCCCAAAAAGCCCCTCGCTTTTTTTCTCCCTTTTGTCACCTTAAAAGAAAACCAAACCCATACCTTTAAATTTAGAAAGGAACATGCTTATATAACTGAACATGAAACGAATTGATTATATTTAAAGTTAGATATGTTTATCCATTTGAATAGCCAGGTGAGAGCACTCTCAGCATACTAATTAGCATTTGTGATCAGTATTTCTGAGATTATATTTAAAGCACAAAAGCGGTGGCCCTTCCAACTTAAAACATTTTCCCTTCACCTTAAGCCCCAAGAATCCAGCAGCAGTGAAGACACAGAATGGACAGTCGGAAAAGGGCGAGCATGTATCACTGTTAATTATGTAATTAAGGTTGAAAACGTAGCAACACTTAAACATCTTCACTTATATTTTTCCTCGAAAACAGATTTAACGACGGCTTTTATAGCTAATGTTTTCATTTCCTCTTAACCATTTCTTGAATTGTATAATTCTTCATTACAACTATATGCCTATTTTCCAGGATACAGTTGGATTAAGATGTTTGTTGAAATTTCCAGAAACTATGCTTTTTGGGAGAATGCTGGTATTTCTAGGTGATAGAGCCAAGTGTGGCATGCAACTAGGCTGATGATATTGATGTTCCTAAACCTGACATTAGACTCAGCTATTTTTGCTTTAATCTTCACATATACCATACGTTTACATATTCTATATGAATGTTTATGTGTGCCCTATTTGTGGCTCATTTTATGGATAATATAGGATGCACGTATTCTATAAGGAGATTTGTTAGATTGGACAGCCTTTTGAAAATAGAAATGTGATCCAGAGAGCCTTTGGGTAGAAGCATTATAGGTAGACAGTAGTTCATTTAACATGATTGGTGCTTTATCCAGCAGTGTAACGAGTGGTGCAGAACCAAAAGTCAACTTATTTAATGCTTAACTGTAATGCATTTCACAATATGCATAGGGATTATGTATTCATAACTAACATAATGGTTTTAAGAAAGTGAAGACTGAGTCAGAGGAAAGTCATCTGTAACACTGATGTCAAGATTCCTGAGAGTTGGTGTAGATGGCAGACGAAGTTTTCACACATGATGGTAGTGATCAGTGGAAAATGCTCTTATGAATGTTAGTGTAACTCATGGGTACGAACAGAAGGATGAGAGGGCCCTCAAAGCTTTTCTCCAAGGTGTAGACTTTATATCTGTGGAACTTGTATCTTATGATAACACTTTTCCACTTTCAAATTTCTTACCCATAGGTATGTCCTGTTTATTTTTTATACTATTATAGTGTGTGTGTGTGTGTGTGTAGTAGATACGATGGATCAGGGAAGGAATTGTGTGATAATTGTAGAATATGTTATTGAGTACTTACTGTAAGCATTTTTCATTCCTTATTTAATTTAATTAAAAATAGTAATTTGATAACTCTTTACCTTTCATGATGACTGTATTATTTTTCTTAGAGACTTTAGTTTGTAAGGCTTGTTTAACTGTGCTGTTATTAGACTAGTTTGAGCGCTCATACATTTTTCTAGTAGAAGATACCAGTGATCCAACCTAGATTCCTAAATGTAGTAGTGATTGGACAGTGTGCCTGACATTTTAGTAAAAGGGAACAAATTAGTTTTCTTCGTAAAGTCTAATAAGATCAAAATTCAGGAACTACTAAAAAGACAGTTGGGGGGGGGAGAGGAACATAACAGACAAAAATCAGGTGTTCTTACTGAATTTTACAAACAGTGTAATTGGTTTATTGGTCATTTGTGTGGTGTTTCTTATTTTTATACTTTGAAACATACATGTTAGTAATGGACAACATTTATTGAGTACAGTACTTACAATATGCCAGGTCTGGTGCTTTAATAGATTATCTTACTGTTCACACCACTGCTGTGGGTTACACACTTGCTGTGCCCATTTTATATATGGGAACACTGAGGCTAAGCCTTAGATTAAGTAGCTTGAAAGCAGTGGCTTCACACCAGTGCAATCTAAGTGCAGAGCATACGCTCTTACCTATTAAACTACATAATAAATTTCCTCCAGAGTGTCAAAAGCATTACTATTTACTTAATTTTTTTTTTTTGGAAGGTTTTCTGAAACTATGGCAACCCCTCGGAGGAGGACAAAGAAGAAAGCATCTTTTGATCATTCTCCAGATAGCCTGCCTTTGAGGAGCTCCGGTAGGCAGGTATTGCTCATCTGTTCACTCAGTGTACCTGTTTTGTTGTAAGTGATCTCCACATCCAACGCGGGGCTTGAAGTCACAAGCCCGAGATCAAGAGTCGCATGCTCCACTGAGAGAGCCCTCCCGGCACCCCCATGATATGCACCTGTTTTGAGCACACGAGATGGTGATGGTTTGGGCTGAAGTATTAGAGATGAAAATATGTCTTTTCAGTCTTCAAGGAACTCGCAGCCTGGTGGAGAAATTCCCCTTGGAACGACCCCAGCACAGTGTGATCAAGGGCTGTTGCCCTTTCTGCACTCTGGTGTAGAAAAAGTACATCTGGCAGAGGGGACTGTAGAGACAAAGGCTTAGAGTGTGAATCAGCATGGGCTGGTCAGGGAATCACAGCTGTGCTTTGCTCCCAGGATATGAGCTGCGGCCAGATCATGCTTGGCGTGGCGTCGTTCACAGGAACTTGGACTTCAGCTTGTAGCTGGTTGGGTGCCGTTGGCAGGTTCCTTGCAGCCATCTCTTTTCTAGGGTTTTGTTTTCTTTCTTTTTTTTTTAAAGAAAAATATTGAATGATGAAATTTTTTTTGTAAAATTATTCAGTTTTGGGGAGCTGGCTCTGTTGTAAGAGCATGTGACTTTTTTTTTCCTTTATTTTTAACGTTTATTTATTGAGAGACAGAGAGAGACAGAGCTTGAGCAGAGAGAGAGGAGGAGACACAGAATCCGAAGCAGCCTTCAGGCTCTGAGCTGTCAACACAGAGCCAGTCGCGGGGCTCAAACTCATAAACCATGAGATCATGACCCGAGCCGAAGTCAGTCAGATGCTTAGCCAACTGAGCCACCCAGGCGCCCCGCATGTGACTCTTGATCTGAGGTTGTGAGTTCGAGCCCCCTGTTGGGTGTGGAGATTATTTAAATACACAAACTTAAAAAAGGTAATACAATTCAATTTTTTTTTTTTTATTGGCAGTGCCGAGAGTAACTGCTCTAATTAAAGAATTCTTTGAGTGTGGCTTTTATTTTGACTGGTACAGCTTTTCCTGAGAAAGGCTCACGTGTGTTTTGTTGATTTTCTTAAAATATTTATTTTGAGAGGGAAAGAAGGAAAGCA